CTTGCTGTGATGGTGTAATTTGCGTCTGAGCTTGTGAACAGTGACGGTTGCCTGCCGTCTCTAAGCTGTCACAGAGTATTGATGTCCTTTAAATCTGAGCAAGTGTAGTTAATGCTGTAACCTTGATAGTCCTAGCAGTTTTCTCTGTCATTGTTAAGAATCAGTCAAAGACAATCTTCCCTTTTAGGACACCGCATTGAGGAAATCCCTGAGGTCCCACTGGTGGTTGAAGACAAAGTTGAGGGCTACAAGAAGACCAAGGAGGCAGTGCTGCTGCTGAAGAAGCTCAAAGCCTGGAATGACATTAAGAAGGTACAGTAACCTCAAAACACTGAGGAACACTGAGTTTCATCAGTAGTTTTTCCGAAGTCAAATCATGCTTCTTTTTTTTTTTCTTCTTGAGTTGGCATTAGGAGCATTTAATTATTAATAATGGGAGTTTTCTTTGCTCTTCTCAGGTCTATGCCTCTCAGCGTATGCGTGCCGGTAAGGGTAAGATGAGGAATCGCAGACGTATCCAGCGCAGAGGGCCGTGCATTATCTATAACCAAGATGCTGGCTTAACCAAAGCCTTCAGAAATATCCCCGGTAAATGTCCCATTTAAAATTTAGAATTTATTACAGTGTTAGAAAATGGATATTATGATTCTTACATTTAATTAAGGTATAGTTAAAATGGATGATTCTATTGGATGAAATGGAATAAAATGACCAAGATTCTAAAACTAACTTTGCTTTCAATTAAACTCTGTTTTCTTCATTTATGCATGTGTAACTTTAAGTCTGCCTGAATACTGATGAGTTGTAATTGTAGTGTTTATAGCATAGTTGAGTCTTAAATAAGTCAATTGCCCTTTAAAACTCACTATAGCTTTAAGATAATTGGTTCATCAACATGCAGATGTTTGATTGTGCTGCATTTTGCAGGCATCACTCTGCTGAACGTGAACAAACTGAACCTTTTGAGGCTCGCTCCCGGTGGTCACGTTGGACGGTTCTGCATCTGGACCGAGAGTGCTTTCCGCAAGCTGGATGACCTGTACGGCACATGGCGCAAGGCTGCCTCCCTGAAGGTTGACTACAAGTGAGTATTTGAGTATTTTGAGAGCATGCACTCTAAAAGTACAAGTGCAGTGTATCATGCTGGTGTACAACAGTGATGAGCTTCCACTTCATGGTCCGTGTTTTTGAACTATGTGATATTTAATGAAGTTCTGAGTTTGAGCAACATAAAACTTATCATACGACTTTTTTGCCTTCATGCACGAGGGACTTTAATTCTTGACTCTTCTTCCTTCAGCCTGCCAATGCACAAGATGACCAATACAGACCTGACCAGGATTCTGAAGAGTGAGGAGATCCAGAAAGCACTTCGTGCACCCAAGTAAGCATTTTTCAGTGTAGTTTTCCCCCGAGGTCTTATTTGCCAGCTATGATGATTTTCCACTTCAGGTCCGTGTTTCTGAACCCTGATTATATGGAAGTCCTGAGTGATGCAGAAAGTTTCACTGAAGTTGTAGTTAAGCAGAAGCTCACATATTCAAGGGTGGATTGTATTGTCATTACAGCAAGAAGCTCAACCGCAGAATTCTGAAGAAGAATCCTCTGAAGAATTTGAACATAATGCTCAAACTGAATCCTTACGCCAAGACAGCAAGACGTCATGCCATCCTCAAGCATGACCCTGCGGTAAGAGCCTGATCAGTTAACGATGAAAGTAAAAACTGTATGTCTATTTGTTGATGGTAACTCAGAGCCCCTCTTTGTTCTCACCATAGATTAAGGCCAAGATGCTGAAACCCAAGAAGAGGCCCGGAAAGAAGGGTGCACCTGCTAAGCCCAAGGCATAAACCAATACATACAGACTGGAGTTCAGTGATGAATAAATCAGTTGTTTCAAATGCATGAGTCAGACCTGTCATTCAAACTTTTTATTCACAGGACTTATTTATTCCACATAAGCTAGCAAAGGTTTTACACTGTGAAGACTTGGGGTTACAAAGGAATATCAAGCACAGGTAGAGCAGCATTTGTCAAGATTAAATTAAATCTTTAGAAAAAAGATGGCTTTTCAGGAAGGCCTGCAAGGTAGCCCAAAGACTTGTTCAATACATAGTTTCACTTGGCATTTAGGTTTGTACACTTTAATCAGTATAAACAGTTTTATATACCAATAATAGAAATTAGTCATTAGAAGACTTTGATGTGGGTGTTGTAGGCAGAACAGGCCTCACATTATGGTACCATGTGTTGGTGTCAAAGGCTGACTGAGTCCAATGGTGGTGCACAGCCAGCCAGCAAAGTCAACTTCCTCTGCTTCGGAGTTTTTAATGAAAGGATGCACCTGAAGAAAAGGAGAACTTTTAGATGCATAGAGATAAGGAGTTTAATAAGTGAATATTAAGAGTGCAAATCTTACCATCAACTGTTTCAAGTCTGCTCTCTCTGCTGGGTTTTTAATCAAGCTGGAGTGGAAACAAAACATCTTAGTGTAGTTCCGTGAAACACCACTAGGTGGCATAAGATTATGTGCAGTGTAGGTGAGAGAAAACTGTCTTCTACCTACCATTTATTAACAAAGTCCTGGAATTCAGAACTAAATACAGCAGGCAGTTTTGGTGGAGGCTGAAATTTAGAGGTTTGTGTAAGTCAAATATCACGTTAAATTGCTCCTAAAGGCATTAATACACTGTAGCCTAGCATCTATCTGCATCATACCAGCATGTGTAGATAAATCCAGTAAACTCACCTCATTAACGATGTAATCAAGAAGCTCAAAAATGGCCATCGGAGGTCTGCTGTCTGGGCCATATGCTGTTAAGGGGGTGGAACCAAAATAATCAGCCCCTTGTAGGTTAGATGTGTAATTACTTCAATGACTATGCTGTAACTTATTTAAGCTATTTCATCAGAGCTTTTTGAAATGATATAAAGCTGCTGTAACTTCAGAGTTACAGCAAGAAGCAGAGCCTTCTCAGACTTACAGCTGCCAGGTCGCCCAGGGGGCCGCGGCTTTGGGGAGGAATCACTGGAGGCTGCCTCCCCTTCCACTGGGAAGCCGAAAATCTGTTCGAGCTCCTTAGCATCAGGTGGTGGAATAGGAAAGCGTCCAATGGCCATTTCAACCAGTGACAGACCCATGCTCCAGATGTCCGACTGAACAGAATAGTGGGTGCCTTGTAAGCGCTCAGGCTAAACAACACATAACACAAGTAGTGTCAGTTATCAGTAGTATAGCTTTTACTTATTTTATTGCATTTCTAAACCTGCAGGTAAATGACAGCTATGTTAAGTGGCACACGTAAACTTGCAGCCAGATTACTGATGAGTTTTCCATTTTAACTGACCGACATGTACGACCGAGTGCCCACAAAGGAGTTGGCCATGGAGTCTATAAGCTGTCCGCTCACTCCAAAGTCACACAGCTTGATCTCACCACGGGAATTCACTAGGATGTTAGAAGGCTTGACATCTGAAAGGGGGACACGCAGTGTTTAGAAGAACACAGTGGGCAAGTGTTTCAACAGGCAGCATCAGCACAGAACAAACTGCTGCAGGCATTTTGTGCTGCTTGTGCTGACTGGTTTTACAGTTTCATCCCTACAACGAAGATTTAACTGAGCCTTAAAATAGGGATTGACTGTATTCTAAGTTTGTATTAAAACAAGAGGTAGGTGATCACTGTGTTGCTGTCAGGTCACGCCTCCACTTCTATGTTAGAAAACAAGCTTTTACACCCAGTATGACCACAATATGACAGAAAGAAATGTTAAAGTGAAAAAAAAATCTGTTCAAATGTAACTATCACAAAAAACAAGAGCTTTAAACTTCCCCCTCAGACATAACAAAAACATACTGGCTAATAAAAAAACCAAATCAGACGTCCATGTAATCATATCTTCACCTCTCTGCTAGTGCCAGACATATGATTTGATCTAGGCTTTATGTATAGCAAAACTAAGGAAAGGTATTTATGCGTTTAAAGGCCAGGTCAAGAAAATTAAATTATATTTAATTGAAATAGAGACCTCTGTGCATGATCTTGTGCTTCTCCCTCAGGTAGGAAAGACCTTTAATTACCTGCAAAGACAAACATTGCATAAAAGCACAGCAAAGGCACAGATAATTTGGTACTGCCAAAGAAGTACAAGAAACTTAGCTCTAATGTGACGGCCAGAGCATGAAATAAGTGGGAGAGGTATTAAAGCTACCCACAGCAATGCTGACTTTGCCAAGGATCTGCTCTGGGATCTTGCCTGCTTTCTTCAGTGATTGGTCCAGGGAGCCACCATCCTATGAACAACAGATGGGAACAAACAACACATTTTATCAAAAATAGCTTGTTCCCATACCAACCAGGCTGTAAATGGAGGGCAAGAAATACCTAACAACTTTCAGTATAGTCTGTAAAAGAAAGCAAAAACACTACGGGGAAAACACTGGCAAGCATAACATTAATAAACTATACCATATGCTCCATGCAGATGCTGATTTCCCCATCGCTGTAGAAAGCCCCGTAGAAGCCCACAATATATGGGGAGTTGCACTCATGTAGCACCTGCAGCTCCCTAATGATCTGGTTCCTGATGGCTGGTTTAATCTCAAGGTGGATCAGCTGGAACACAGCAGGGCTCATGTTTTTAATTATGCTTCCGTAACACAGAGAAGACAAATGCTAGACAACACAAGCATAGACAAGAACATGCTTTATGACCAAAAATGATCATTAAGGAAAAAGATTTAATATTGAAGCACATCTTGTTTCAGCTAGGGGACGATTTTTAACAGCAGCACTTGGGTTTTCAGACGGTCTGCTGTCCCATTAACCCACATTTAAGGCTGTGCACAAACACTGGAGTAATGATGCCTCTTGGACATACTGGAGTAAAAAAATAGCTTTCAGACAGCTGTGCTGCAGCTTACCTTCCTTGCCATAATCAGACCCGAGGGTCGGTGGGAAACCTTAAAGACAACTCCTCCATTGCCGGCACCGAGCTCGCAGATCTTCTCAAAGTCATCGTCCTTCAGCTCTCCCACTTTCTGCTTCTGTGTCAGAAAGGCCTCCAAGCGTTTCCGCTGCTGCTCATCCAACTCGAGCTCCTCTAGTTTTTTCTGCAGTGCCTCCAAGTTTGTTCTTGTTAAGAGTAAAGTAATGAAAGACAGACGACGATGAGAAACGTGAATTATTATTATTATTATTATTATTATTATTATTATTATTATTGTATTCAGTTCAGAGACTAAACTGTCAGATCTCCTCTCATTAGATATCAATGACCCGGTGGTCCCACTATTTTCATTCCTCATGCTTTCATCTCACATGATTGGTTTGAGTTCCAAAAGTCTGAATTTGTGAGTCTCCCAAGAAATGTGTGACTCAAAAAGGTGTTTCCGATCCATGGATACCGACTTATGGCAAGTCAAATTTGATTACCAGTCCAAACTTTTAATAGTTAGTGCAACAGAAAAGAGCCAGCAGAGCAGTGTACAAAAACACAAGGCCATAAAAATAAACTTTAATATCCATAAATATTATAAATACAGTATGGTTGCTCCATAGATTGTGTTTCTTCAAGTTAGATATATCTAGATTTCAAACTACCGTTCAACATTAGTAAGGTTTTTCTCCTTGTCACACTCACTCCCCCACATTCAGCTTGCTGGGATCTGCTCACCACAGATATCCACATACTCCTCATCCAGACCTACTGCATCTATTATGTCATCCTCAGAGATAAGACTGAGCTAAGTGTAGTACTCCTGCACATTCCTCAGGAATAATGTTAAACAAAGAGGGAGCCAGCAGAGAGAGCTGGGTGTGCTTTATTATCCCTTTTCAGATCCCAGTGTGAGAAAGCTTTAAACAATCTTTCCTTGAGAAACTAATTGTCTAGTGAACTCTGCTGATCTGCTGCCCTTTGACCTCCCACTCAACTGCCTCAAAACACTGTCCACACCGCCACGCACAGCCACTCTAAGACTTTAAAAAGTACTAGCTGGAAGCTGCTGTGAAGACCACAGAGATGTCCTGTTATTAGTGTCAAACATTTGGCCTGTGAATGTTAAAAATTAGCAATTTAATTGTTTACGCTGCAAATGATTAAAGTATCAAACAAAAGCATGTATGATTCATATGTGCTGCTGTCTTCATTCAGCTAAGAGAAAATCATTTAAATTAATTATTTCATTGCCAGCCTACCAGATTTTCGTAACAATACGACTATGTGGTGATGAGAAGATCTTCATCAGTCTTAGTGGTAATTAAGCTTTTTATTCCTCATCTTTTTTTTTTAAACTTAATAACGACTCACTGGAGAGCAGCTCTTCTCCCTGCAAAGCTCCGCACAGCAAAGAGAGGGTTAAGTGGTTTTATTTTTGACAGTAGGCCTGCATATCCATGGAGACGAGGTGCCGAGTTTGAGCTGGCTGTGGGTGGCGTGGGCGTTTTGTCGACAAGAGCTGGAGGTGGAGGAGGATGAGAAGCCTGAAACACTCTACACAATGTACGAGGGAGGGACTACAGTAGCGCCACACTGCAGGCCCCCTCCCTTCCAGGTGCAGGAAGAAGTGAGCACGACGCTGGCCTTTTGAGCTCCATCCGCACTAAAGAACAAGGACATCCAGCAGAACTCGAATGTGAGAAGCACAATAACTCTACACCTTGACATCAAGCAAGTTAAAGAAAATGCATTTTTAATAAATGAGAATCTGTGAGACACACGTTTATCTATCAGGTTTTGGTTTACGGCTTCAGCCAAAGAGGTATTCAGCTACTTATTACTTCAACATGTGTTGCTTAGATTTTTTTTTTCAAAGAATAGTTCAACACAGCTCTGCAGAACCAAAATTTTATTAAAAATTGATATGCAATTGAACGGTCTCTTTTAAACTATTATTTGAA